ATTCTCCCCTCTGAAGTCCTTTATGTGTCTATTTATTAGCCCATACTTTTGATCTAAGTTGGTATCTGGTTCTATTTTATTGGAATGAATAATGTTAGCACTTAGCAAACTGTTATGGACATAGTAAGGACTCAAAAAAACATATCTGCTCAAGTACCTAAAACTAAATTTGAGTTAAAATGTTCTTAATATGTGCATAACACTGTCTCATTTTTGAGACCAGTAAATAGATACCATTTGCCTATAATAAAAACATGATGAAACTAATTCATTTCCTAATTTAAAGCTCTTGTAAACTCACCAATATTAGTGGCTCCAGCGTCCACACTATTTTCTAACAGCTCCTTGACAGCAGTGCTCAGACTCAGCACCACTTGTCCTGAGCAGATCTGATGAACTGACTTATGATCTATAGGTTTGATAGCATTAGCAGTTTCTACACTGAAAAACAAAACAAAAACACAGTTAATTACTGAAAATGAAAATCTGCATTCATATATTTTCATTCTGAGTTTTAATTATGGCAACTGATCAAAGTACTTGTGTCAATAGTAGTAACCAGTTACTAGTTAGATTATAGATTTGGTTATGTTCCAAAATTACGGAATCTCAAAATTGGGAAGGGCATCCAAGGACATCTAGTACTACTTGTACATAAACAAATCGTCATTCAGTCTTCGCTTGAAGACCCTAGTGAAGGAACCTTTTATCCCAAAGCAGCCCATTTTGTTTTTAGATAGCTCTAATTGTCAGGCAGGTTTTCCTTACATTGAGCCAAGCAACTTCTACCCACTACTTTTAGTTTGGTGATCTGAGAACAAAACAATCCAAATTCCCCTTCTACAACAGCCCTTCAAATATCTGACCCTAAGTGTGATATGGTATAAAAAACACTGAATTAGCATCAGAAAATGAGTTAAAACCCCATCTCTGCTCCTTACTACCTGTATGATTCTGCGCAAACCATTCAACCACTCTGGATCTCAATTTCCTCATCTATAAAATAAGAGGTTGGACTAGATGATCACTAAGGTTCCTTCTAGCTTTAAATCTATGATTTTAAATATTCTTCTCTCCAAGCTAAAATTCCCAGTTCCTTTATCTGATCCTCATATGGCAGTTCTTTGACCATTTTATTGTCCTGGAAGCTCTTTAGTTCATTAATGTCCTTCTTAAAATGTGGTCCCCAGAATAGAACCCAATACTTCGACCAGGCATAATTCTGGATACCGTGCCTCTCTAAATGCAGCATTAACATTTTGGGCTGCCATACTATACTGCTGATTCATGTTCACTTACAGTCCACTAAAATGACAAATCCTTTAAAGGTAATCTTCCATATCATACTTGTAAAACTAAAACTTCAATCCATGCATAAAGTTTTACATTTACTAAATGTATTTTTGACTTTGTCCCATGTTCCAATCTACTGAGATCTTTTGGAATCCTGACTCTATGGAACAATGAATTAGCTATATACCTTTGTATCTTCTGCAAATTTAATAAACATGCCAACTATGCCTTAGTCCAAGTCACACTCAAACATAAATAACATAGAACCAAGGACAGACCCCTGAGGCATCCCACTAGAGATTTTCTGCTTCACTAATAAGTATTTTTGGGGTCTGTTCATTCAATTAGTTCAGAATCCATTATACTGTGTACAATACTGGCAGGAAGACATTCGCCCTTTCTTAAATACATATATAAAAGAATAGGAACAAATTAAGACTCTACTAATTTACTGTGCTATACAAATGAAACTCTTCTTCAGTGTTTACAAAGTATCATTATAAAGATAAATTATCTTTGACCTTGTAGTTTAAGAAGCTACATTATAATAGGAATGAGATTCCTTGGTCAACAGAGGTCTCTAGTAGTATTATTTTAGGATATAAACATTTTGTCTTTTCCTTTGCTTCCTTTGTTTCCACACCATACTGTTGGCTAATACTGTTTCCATTCTACTAAAACCTCCAGATATTTGCCACACCTCTCTGGTATTTGTAAGGCTGACTTTTTGAACAAAGTATAAGACTTTACTTAAATGAAACTTTACATAACTCAAGTCTTTCCTGATCCCCTCAGCTAAAAGTTCCTCCTCTAGAGATTACCTTCTTATATGTAGACATATTTATCCCTTTGATGTCAAAAGTGGTTTCATTTTTGTCTTTATATCCCAAGGCCTAGGACAATGTTTAAAACACAGTAAGCACCTAAAATCCTGTTGATTTGATAGGTGTGCTACCCTGACTTTCTAGAGTGTGCAGAAGATGTTTTATCTTAGTAAAGGAAAAAATAAAGGTCAAATATTGGCAAGGGTCAAATAAAGGCAAGACTGCTCATTGCTTCTTTAAAGGCTGTTTCTTGAGCATTTAGAAACATCCTTCAAATTTTTGGTGAACAAAGATTAGCATATTTTGATAGCTAAACCAAAGAAATAAAGTGGGCCCTCGGTTTCCTCATCTGTAAAAGGAAGGGGTTAGATTAGATAACCTCTTATATCCTTGCAGGTCTAATATTCTAGGATTCTTTTAACTTTAATAAAATCAGGTAGGAGGGTCTAAAATAAAAGCTCTGCCTTGGCTTTTTTATTGGGCTTTTTTTTATTAGGCTTATCTTTCCTAGAAAGAACTCTGTTTGGTGGAGAAAAGGGAAACAGAGCATCTGCTACAAGGTAGATGCTTAGATAGCAGAAGTCGAGTGACTTCAAGGAGCCAGAGAGAGGGATAATAGTACCAGGTATGTTCAAAGCCTCTGGGAAAATGTGCAAATCTAAATTAATAATCTAAATGAATAATCCTTTCACAAGATTCCCTTAAACATAAGCCTCTCTTCCTAGACTATTTGGCAAGCTTAAGACAAACAAAGAAAGGACTTCTTCCTCTCATCCAGCCTCCATAGAAAATCAAGGCCAGTTTGACTGGTATGAAAGAAAGAAATGTATAATTAAGCTGGAAGACAGGCTGGAGCCCGGTTTTTGGAGGGTTTTAAATGCCAGGTCGAAGAATCTTTATTTAATCTTGGAGACAGCAAGAAGCAACTAAAACTCCTTAAGAAGGAGACTGACAAGGTCAGACCAGTATTTTAAGAATATCAATCTGTCACCTGGTCAGCTGTGTAAATGATTAGCAGGAAAACGGTAAAAAACTGAATACAGGAAGACTAAATTGAGAGCTACTGCAATACTACAGGCAAGAAGTGAGGAAGGTATGAATTAGGGTGACTGTATGGGGAAGAATGTGAGAGTTGTTGCAGATATAGGAAAAAAAAAAGATTTGACAACTGATAAAGGGGGAGGATCGAGGAAAGGGTGGTGGTGAAAGCGTTATGGTTTACTCCTAAGTTGAGAACTTGGATCACTGAAAGAATAAGGTAGCCTTGAAAGAAATACGGAAATTAGGAGAGGAGGGTTCAGGTTGGGTTGGTTGGGAGAAGTCATGAGTTGGTTTAGGACATACTGAGTTCGCAGTGCCTAAGGGACAAGGAGGTGACATCTAACTGGCAGCTGGAGAGGTGAGACCAAAGCTCAGAAGTCAGCTGAAGGCTAAATATGTAGACGTGGACTACCACATCACGATGGATGATGATTCTGCAAAAGAGAACTAGAAGGATCAGTTAGATGGGTAGGAACAGAACAAGAGGGCAACGTCATGAAAACCAAGAGAGGACGAAACATCCAGAGGGAAGGGGACAGTCAACCCTGTCTCAAATGTTTCAGTGAAGTCAAGACGGTTGGCCACAGAGAAAAGGATGTTGACAATTAAGAGATCACCAGTCATGCCTCACATGGGGGGCGCGGGGTGGGGTGGGGAGGAGGAAGAGGGGAGGGGAAGGGAAGGAAGTCCAGGGGTTAAGAAGCAAGTGGGGCGTGAATGCAACAAGCATGGACAGCTTTTTCTAGGCCTGTTCACAGGTCATCTAATCCGAACCTTTTCACTTTACAGAGGTCCAGAGAAGTCACACGACCTACACTACCTGGCCACACAAACTGCCACTTACTGGCAGACAGCACTTTCCATTGCAGCCCCGCCGCCTCCCACTTCAAAGCCCACCGCCTTGGGATGAGGAATGCCCCCTCTCCGGGCGCGCTCCACCCCACAGGGAAATCGCTCCGCCCAATGAAAACAATCGGCCAATCCCAGGAAGAAGGGGCCCAGAGCCTGCAGAACAAAGGTCCAACCCGGCTTCCGTAGGTAGGGACTACCTCTTCACGCACCTACCCCTCCCCCCCTTGACTCTAGGCCAGAAAGAGCAAGGCCAAGAGAGGAAAAAGGGAACGTAAGGAAGCAGATAACTTACTTCGGCCCCTCCATGAAGCCTCAGGTCAGCCCCCCAGGGGCCAGTCTAAAGAATTTCCCGCTTCGGCGGTGTAGGTTGCCAGCCTCGCCACCCGCCCGCTCATTGGTGACTCTCAAAAACCTTTCGCCCTCCCTTTCCCAAAGGACCGCAAACGCCTTCTTCCTCTGATTGGCTGGGGAAAAGATTCGTCACGTGTCAGTCTGGGATCTTTGCCCAATCAGACAGCTTAAACCAGCAGGGTTTTCCGGTCCTCCAGCGTTTGCAACGGAAGGATTCACAGTAATTACCATTTGTTCCTCTGACTCTAAGCGCTCTGCCGTGTACGTTGCTCTCTCCCCACCTCGCGTCCCTTTCGTGGTACCCATGTATCAGGTAAAGCCGTATCACGGGGTGAGTGGATCGCTGTGTGTAGAGCTTCCCACATGCATGTACCGAGTCCCCAACATACACGCCAAGAACCGAAGCTCGGCCTTCACCGAGGGCCCGGCGGGGCACGTGCAGGTAGGATCCTGGCCGAGGGTGCGCGGGTTTGGAGGCATGGCGAGGGCTTAGTCCGTTGGATGGAGCACGGCCGGGCCACGTCTGTCCCCATCACTTTACCGAGGCGGACGGGCGGGCGGAGTGAACAGTCTGGGGATCGAACCGCCTGTTGCTTTCGCTTAGTTTCTGGGACTGGGCTTTGTAACTACGTGGACGTCCCGGATCCTGACCTCGCCCCCTCTCTAGGCAGAGGCCCTGGCCCTGCCCGGGACTGTGGGAGCAATCGTTGAATCGTCGTGGTGGGCTCGGAAGGACCCTCTGGAAGTCATCCGGTCCAAGTCCCCTCAGTGACACGACTGGTTGTCACAGAAGAGTCCAACCCGGGCCTGTGACTCCAAAACTTTCCTTTGCCTCCTTTCTCGGGGCTGCCCCAACGCCTCCTCCCCTTGCCCCACGCCAGTTCGGTTTTAAAGTTTCTCCCTTGCTATACAAATGAGCTGTCTTACCCCAGGTGGGGACGATTCCTTAAGTTAGTGGCCAGAATAGAGTGGAGAGGGATTTGAAGCAGGGAGACCAATTAGAAGGCTATTGCAATAGTCCAGGCCCGAGGTGATTGATGAGGGCCCGAAGTAATCACAGGTGGCTGTGAGAATGGAAAGGAGGGATATACAGGAGAGATGGATGCACTGTCGGGAAAAAATGAAAAGATTTGGCAATTGGCTGACTATGTGGGAATGAGGGAGAGGAAAGAGCTGAGGATAATGCTGTGTTTGTAAACTTGGGTTACTACAAAGATGGTGAAAAGGGAAAGTTGGGAACAGAAGGGGAACTCAAGATAATGAGTTCTGTTTGGGACCTGAAAGTGTGAGATGCCTGTAGTTTGAAATGTCTAAAAGAGTTAGTGAAAAAAGACTGGAACTCAGGAAAGAGAATAGGGTTGACTACAAGTTCTGGAAATCATCAGCTTGGAGAAGACAGTTGAACTCATGGGAACTGATGTCCTCTTCGGGTGAGAGACAATAGAGAGAAAATGGAAAAGGACCAGGACAGGACCTTGGGGTGGGAATCTCAAAAGTTCTTGGGCATGATATGGATGAAGATCCAGCAAAGAGATTGAGAAAGAGTAGAGGGAAGGAGAACCATCACATCAATCAACAAGTATTTATTAAGCAATAGGGCTACTACTATGTGTTAAGCATTGTCCCTTAATAAAAGGATTTGTTCTGTAAAACTGTAAAAAGGCTGCACCCAAGGACCTAGAAGACCACATGTGGCCTTGACACGTGCAAGTTCCCTACCCCTGCACTAGGCACTGGGGACAAAAAATGAAACGATCTTATATTCTAATAGAGAAGTACATATAAAACTAGAATAATTGTAAATATACCTCTGTGTGTGTGTGTGTGTGTGTGTGTGTGTGTGTGTATGTTACATGCATAGCATGTCAACTACAAAGTAGTTTGGGAAGACATTAGCAGTTGGGGCATCAGGAAAGGCTTCGTGAAGAAGAATGAATGAATGTATGCATACATGTTTATGAATAAATGAATATAAGTCCTTAATATATGGTAAACATTTGGGGTACAGACAGAAAAGTAAAATAGTAAAAAAAAAAAACTCCTGCTCTCAAGGAGTTCACATTATAATAGTGACAATGTATGTGAAAGTTAAACGGGAAGCTCTTGTGATCCTTAAAGTGCCAAGCAATGCAGATTTGGTAATGCCTCTTCTTTAATGTAATTTCCACTGAAAAATATTAGTTTCTGGTGTTGAACCATTTGACAGTGAAGGAATTGGACTAGATGACCTTTCAGGGCCTTTCCAGCTCTAAATCTATGATCATGAACAAGAATACCTTCTACAATAGTGGTAACATATGGTCATCTCTTTACTTGGATTCCTTCAGTGAAAGGGAACCTCAGAACTCAGTTCTGTTTTTGGATAGCTCTACTTGTTAGGCAATTTCCATTGCTTCTTGTCTTACCCACTGGGACTAAATTGAACAAATCTGATCCCTCTTCCCCATGACAGCTTTCAGGTACTTAATGACTCAAACCTTGGTCCAGTGTTTTTCCTGCTATACCTCCAAAGAATGTCAGGAAAAAAAAATAGAAGTGGCAAGAAACAAATACTGCCTCATTAATAGTATTTGTAACTTTTAGTATTGTGGTCAGATCATACTGTCATTTCTCATATCACAAATCATGCACTCTTATTTCTGGGTTACTGCCTACTCAGTTACTTGACATGTTACTGTATTTCACCCTAACTGAAGTTATTCATTTTGCATCCTGCATGGTTGGTCACAAGAGAAATTACTATGATTAGGTTCTATGGATAGGACATTATTGTTAGAAAAAACATAAAGCCTGTACTCAGTGGAGTGATGAAAAACTATACTTTCTGCCTTCCATCAAACAAGTGGCTCAGCAGAGAAGCCCTCTGAAACACAAACACTCAACCACTTGCTCCTCTCAAGGGAAAGCTGAAGAGACATCTGCTTAGGTTTGGGTCTTTGCATTCAACTGTAAGATGCTTTAGCAGCATTGTGATTTTGAGTGCAGAATAGAGAACTGGGATAATTTTCCAAGTCAGGTCCTTTTACAGTCTGCTTTCATTTTTTAAATTTGAATTTCATTCTTAGGACAGCAGCCATTAATATTCAAATATAAACGAAGAGACATTCCAAAACTAAACATTTTGGGGTTTTTGTAAATTTTCCTTTTATTGCCAACAGCTTAATTATTAGACACTTAAGTGATTTTCTGCACTTTCTACAGTCAAGAGTATTTCTGTAGTTAGTTTGGTTTCTGTGAACGTACAGGAGGACAGTTTGCATCCATTTTACGTATCTGTTCCAATTACTATATACTAAGCTACATGAAATAGTTTTAAAAAACAAACCAACAAACATAATTACCAGTATGTTATACAAAGAGTGCTTGCTTTACCTTGAGACGTTGCAGATGACAGCAGCATGAGCTATTAAAAATATAAGCTTGCTCTCCTTTAAGCCTCCTTTTCTACTCAGGTAATGTATTAAAATAAGGAGAGAAAATAGGACCAAAGTATCTAAAATAGTAATGGAGAAGGTAACATTTCTTCATTGGCTGACTTTGGTATTAACGAAAGACTGCCTTGAGATGAAAGAAAATGAATTACAAAAGAAAATTATAACATTGTTAATTTTGGTTGGTTTAGGAAGAGGCTGACCCATCTCTTCAGGCTCTTGAGTCCCGCCAAGAAGACATCTTAAAACGCTTGTATGAACTGAAAGCTGCTGTTGATGGGCTCTCCAAGATGATACAAACACCAGATGCAGACTTTGATGTGACAAACATGATCCAAACTAACGAATGCACTACTTTAAAAACTGCTAATGCAGTAGACTTAGATTCAATGCTTGGGAAGGTAAGTTCATATTGAAAGTTTTAACATACTAGCATCCAAAAAAAAAAAACCAAATCCCCAAACAAAACACCTAGTTTTTCACTGAGAAAGAATTCTAGAAATGGTACTAAAACTATCAAAAATGGTTAAAAAAAAAAGTTTTAATAGTTAAGGAAATAAGTTTTAGTTAAGTTCATTATCCAGAAATATCAGGTAATTTAATAAAGAGTAATCCCTATTTAAGATTAAATCAAGTTCCAGAAACCTGTGAACTGACCTCCTATGATAAGAGAATAGTGGGATTAAAACATTTAAACTTCAATGCCCCAGGCAATTCACTAATATATAGTTGAAGAATATTTACTGATCTGAATTGAAATGAGTTTCCTCACTTGGAATTCCTTACACCAAGGAAATAGTCAAAACATTTACAATTTAAAACTAGATTTCTTATGACATGAATACATTTAATAGGTAGTAGAGAAAGTCTTTTAGATTGTAAATAAGAGAATTGCTTTCAATTGGCATTATAATTTAGAATAACATTTCTAGATCAGGATTTTATAGCACTAATTAGTGTTTTTCCTGTTTTGGGTTTTTTTTTTTAAATGCAGGATTATGGAGCATTGAAAGATATTGTAATCAATGCAAACCCAACTCTGCCTCCACTTTCCCTGTTGGTGCTACACAGCTTTCTTTGTGAACACTACAAGATATTATCAACTGTTCATGTGCATTCATCTGTAAAGAATGTTCCTGAAAATCTTTTGAAGTGTTTTGGAGAACAGTCTAAGAAACAGTCCCGTCATGAGTATCAGTTGGGCTTTACTTTAATTTGGAAGGATGGTAGGTAGAGTATTATAGCTAAACTGATGGAATAAACAATGAAATTTACATCATTTTATGAGATAAGATTATGTTAAGGTTTATGTTTTCTGGAAGAGTGAAAATTAGTGATCACTTAAACTACCTGTTTAAAGGAAAATTCTGTTTGCATAAATTCGTAGGATATGTCAGTATTCTAAGTGTCAGATTGTTTTTTAAAGTGCCATATACTTAGATCTCTCAATAGTAAGCGTTTTCCTTGTTAGCCATAAGACAACTATCGGCTTGTTAACTGTTTTTTCACACTATCTCTTTGGTATGTGCTAAAACTCTTCTTTAGTTCTTATTTAGAACATTTTTGGCTTACTTCCTGTACTTTCCTTAGTTAAGAAATGCACAGTTCATCTTTATTTATGACCTTTGTGGGAATCTGTTGGTTAAAAAGTAACTGATCACTTAATATGCTTTTCAGAAATTTTTTTCAGTTTTACGCAAACATAACATTGCTGTTAGACATTTTATAAATTTAATTTTAATAGTGGTAATAGTATTCTTCAGATGTTAAGCTAATATCTTTACTTAAAAAGAAAGCTACTTTTAATTTACTAATACTGAAGTGTTTTCTTTTTCTTTTCAGTGCCAAAGCCCCAGATGAAGTTCAGTATTCAAACAATGTGTCCTATCGAAGGTGAAGGGACCATTGCTCGATTTTTGTTCTCACTGCTTGGCCAGACACATGATGCTGTTAGTCTAACACTTATAGATCATTGGGTGGATATGGCTTTTTTTCAGTTGAAAGAAGGAAGCAGTAAAGAAAAAGCAGCTGTCTTGCGCTGTATTAGCTCTGCTCTTGGCAGAGGTCCCTGGCTGGTGGGAAATGAACTCACTGTAGCAGACATTGTAGCTTGGGGTGTACTCCAGCAACTGGGTGGCCCTAATTCTGTTCCAAGTGATATTCAAAAATGGATGAAATCGTGTGAAAATTTGGCCTCTTTTAATAGTGCCCTGAAACTCCTGAAGTAAATTCTTAGAATACATTTTAAAAGTGGCATGACTGAAAACCTGTACTGCCTCATGCCTGTTGGTAAATGCACTTATATTAAAATGTCTTACAGCCAGATGTCAAACACCAATAAAATTATCATAGTACTTGTGGCTCTTCTGTTACATGAATTTTCTAACAGCTAGTTATTGTAAGCAACAGAAACCTTAAGTGAAAATATTACAGGTGTTAAGCCTTGATTTTAATGTTACTCTGTACATACAGATTAAAAAAATTAAAACCTGTACAAAAAAGAATGGCCCTAACCATACAGAAATTTGTAAAATATATTTGTATTCCAGTAGATCCAACAAAATTAACAGCAAACACTTATTAAAAAATTATTGTGCCCATTCTTATACACAACTATCCAGGTCAGACTGGAGAGCCCTCACTTTGTTTCATGTCTTCCTTTATACCTTTTTCCAGAGAAAGGAGTCTTATAGTTTCCTTGAGCTTTTCAATTTCTTTTTCTTGTTCAACTACTTTCTTCTGTAGGACATAATTCATCTGAAAAGAAAAAAAAATCAGTCTCCACACTGATAATTTACCTTTCCTATTTCATTCTGCCTTTTCTAGTAAACACCAAATAGGGTTAAAATGATAAAAGGCTGGGGACCCACATATGGAGTGGTTTTGTCCCCTCCATAGGAAGTAACAAAAATCCCTACAAGTCTTTTATCAGAAAAACACGAAGCTATATTTTTATTTGGACATAAAAAATTTCCTTGAGAACATAATCCTTACGCAGACTTTTCATGTTATCCAATTCACTTGCAAGTCACAACATCACCTGCCTGATACATAGGTCCTCCTTCAAGAATGAAGGACAAACAACACATGAACCAAGACAAACAATAAGCAATTCTCTACTGGTCATCTACAGTCTAGCTAATGTGGTATGTCATAGCTGAATTTAATAATCTTCATTTACCAGATAGGAAAATAAGTTTGTTGAATTAGACAGAATACAACATATTTTGCTTAATTAGCTATATACTTGCTTTAAAGCTTCAAGAATAGACTTTCCCCATTTAATGAGTAAAGTCCTAGGTTAGTGGAAAAAACATTCCAAATTTGGGGAAAAAAATCAAAAACCTTTAAAAATATATAGCTTTTAAAATGCCTAAAACGTGAATTATTTAATCGGTTAGTCATTGAATGCCACTGTATAGGGCTCTGTGACAGTATGTTATAAACTTTTCCTCCAAATAATTAAACATAAAACAATTTCTGAAAAGGGTATGGTTGCATACCATATGATAACCACACACAATCACTTTGTGGGGTAACACAAGAATGGCCTGGCCAAGTCTAGAATTTAAAAATATTGTTAGAAGGAAATTTAGCAATAATCTGGTTCATTTATAGATAATGAATCAGGTCCAGACAGGTTAAATAAGTTATCCAATATCATCACAGATGGTGGAAGAAGCAGGACTAGAAACAAGCCTCCTAAATGCCATTTAAAAAATCTATCTATTTTCAGATCATTCTCCCATTTTCCCCCACCTTACCCTCTACTTTCAGTTGAGAAAACAAGAAAAATAAAACTTGTTATAAGCATGTACAGTCAAGCCTACATTCACTGGCCATGCCCAATCAAAAATGAAAAGTCTCATCTGTACTTTGAATTCATCACCTCTAACCAGGAGGAGGTAGCATATTTTATCATGAGACCTCAGAAACTGTGGTTGGTCACTGCACTGATCACAGCACAAAGAAGTTCCTTGTCTTTACAAGTTTGCTTTTAGTGTATAAATTGTTATCCTGGCTCTGTTCATTTCACTGCATCACTCCATACAAATCACCTGTTTCTCTGACCATCCCCTTAAATAGTTTTTTTATAGTACAACACTATTCTACCACATACATAGAACTTGTTCAGCCATCCCACTTGATGGGTACTCTCAGTTTGCAATACCACAAAAAAGGCTACTATAAATATTTTTGTACATATGGGTCCTTTTCTTTCTTTGATCTTTTTGGGGTACAGATCTAATAGTGGTAACACCAGGTCAATGCGTATGCATCATTTGATAGCTTTTGGGGCATAGTTCCAATTTGCTCTGCAGACTGTTTGGACCAGTTCCCTACTTCACATTAATGTACCCTCCTGCATCTGTCATTTTCCTTTTTTTTCAATGATGCCAATCTGGTGGAACCTCAGAATTGTGTTAATTTCCCATTTAATTATTAGTGATTTAGAGCATTTTTTCATATGGTTATTGATAGCTTGGATTTCTTCCTCTGAAAACTACCTATTCATATCCTCTAATCTTTTTATCAGCTAGAGTCTTTCCAAAGTACAAACTACTTCACTTCAATGAAATAATTGTCTAATATAAGTCATCTAGATACATAATGGACATTCTTGCTTCCTATCTAGCCAAAAACTAGCTAACTTGCTCCTCTGGATTGTGATGTTAAATTGAGATGTTAAATCCAGCTGCTCTACCACACTTAATTTCTATTCCTTTTTGCAATTACTGCTGGGGGTTTTCATGTACTATAGCACTAAGAAAGCTTTTTCAGAAGATCTATAAAATACTAAGAAAATAGAAATGAAATACTTAGGCTGAGAGTAGAATTTGGAAAACATAATAAAATATGCCTGAGTAGCAAATATGCCTGAGAAGTCATTCTGTCTGAATTCTTCCAAAACAACTTGGAATATGCCCTTACCACAGAACAGACTCCACTAAGAGAATTTCCATATACCAATTTCCTTTTCAGAGACATATTTTCTTAATCTGAACTCTGTGTGTGAGAAGCACTTTGAATAGTAATCTATAATGACCAAATATTGTTTTTTTTAAGCATTCCCTTTTAAACCTAACAAGTTGAACATAATAACATACATTTCCAGGATTTTGAAAAAGTTCACTTTCCAGTAGCTGTTCAGCAGATGGTCGTTGTGATGAATTACTCCTCGTTAACTGCTTTATGTATTTGGCTTGTATTGGACATCTTTGGCTAAGTGATTCTGGGATCTGACCATTTCTTAAACCTGTTAAAACTTCTGCTCTTTCCATTTCTGTTCCAAATGGCTGAAAGAGCTCTAGAAGGATCACACCCAAACTATACATGTCTGACTAGAGAAACAAAAAGCACACAAATTTATTAGTGGAAATTTCAATTCAGAATAACATTTTAAAATTTCAGTTTAATTTTATATCCAGAAGAAAACATAAATAGGTTTGCCACTGTGATTAGAAAACTGGATTTACATTTACTAACAACAAAGGGAGTGAAGAGCAGAACCGGGAGACAGGAAAGAAGACAAATGGCAAGTCTTTACTAAGATTGGACAAGACCATTTATTAACTGTCTATACTACTTAATCCTTTCATCTTTCCCTTCTGCCCTGGCCTTACAAAAGAGGACACCCAAAATTAAATAAGAAAATCTTCCTATATTGGTCATTACAGGAAGAAATAAGTTCTAATAGTTCCAAAAAATTCATTTTGTCCAGCAAATATGTTGTCCACCACCAATAAGACATTTCTTCCCGCCCAATGAAAATTTAGGTTTGACACATCAGGCTGGAAAAAGACAAAACTTCTGAAGTGTACTACAAGCTATAGCAGAAAATTGTAAAATTACTTTCAGGTTTCTCTCTGCCTCCACTCAGAAATAAAGCATTTTTGGTAGAATTAACAGATAATCTACCTTCCTATATAATAAATCTTACCTATACCAATTTCAAAAGAAGTTTTTAAAAGTCCTAGCCAAGTTTATTTTGGAGGTAGATAGGATTTAACCATAAGGCATACCTTAGTTTTCTGTTGTCAAAACTGAATTATTCATCATAAATGAGGAACAAGTCAGGATGTATTTTGGAAAAGAAGTTATCTGAAAACATTCTCTCCTTTCCTTACATCCAGAGCATATCTGGATACTTTCCTTGTCTCCATCACACCCTGGTAGAATGTAAGCCACATGAGGGCAATAATTTACCTGATATTCTCTAAGATGTGTTGGGGCTTTTTTTTTTTTTAAAGATTAGAGCTTATTAAAAATTTATATTATACTCATTCAACATCACAGAAATTCCATTCTCTTAAACTATAAGCTTCCTTATAGTATCAAGCAACAACTCATTACCATATTTGTGAAAAAATGATCTCCTAGGAAGAACAGCTGCCTGACGTGAAGACTGCATTTTATAATAACAGCTTTTTATAAAACAATTCAGTACTGGCAGATATTTGGAAATAAAAGTACAGGAAATTCCAACTTAAAAAAAAAGCAAGACAGTTTTGTTAGTATGATATGCAAAGAGAAATTTATATTGCTCAGATGTTTTCTGAAACCTGTCTTAAAGAAGAAAAGCAAGAAATAGTTAAAAAAAAAAAACAAACAACCTGACCCTACCTTGGCATCATATTCAGATCCTTGCAGCTGTTCTGGTGAAGCATACAGACTAGTACCCACTCCTGAAGTATGTGTCAATCCTATAATTTGAATACTCTGATTATTATCAAGATATAAATCTTGGTCACAATTTCTTTTGCTATCTTAGTTTATCATTACTAACAAACCTTCACTGAATATTATAATTTCTAGAAGATTATTATACTTTAATCCTTCCATTATCCTCAGTTTCATATGTATGGGTACTTCTTCCTCCACAGTACAATTTATAATTTGTAATACCTATCGTTTGGTACTAGGTCTATGATAGTTGCTGTGACAATAAAATTCATCACCCTGAGGCCAACCTAGTGATAAGCATTTGAACTTGGCTAGATCAGTCTTCAGATGACAAACAGTCCATCACTTTCAGCCTGGCAGGACCCACCCGCCAAAGCCTGTGATCTGTTGGCACAGTCTTCAAGATCTCAGAGTTGCTTCCTACACTGGAAGTTACTGGAATAGGCAATTTTTTAAAAAAATATTTTATTTTTACCCCCAAATATATCTAAAAGCAATTTTTAAAATTTGGGTTTTCTTTTAAATTTTGAGTTCCAAATTCCATCCCTCCTTCTACTCACCTTCACTCCCTGAAATGGTAAACAAAACATTTCCGTATTTGTCATTTTGTGGAAGAAAACTTTAAAAAAAGGTGAAAAATAATACAATTGGCCTGTATTGAGACTCCATCAGTTCTTCCTCTGGAGGCGGATAGCATTTTTTATTCTGGGATTATCTTGGATCACTGTACTGCTGAGAATAGCTAAGTCATTCATAGTTGTTCATTGTACAATATGACTGTTACTGTATACTGTCATTTCCGTTCTGCTCACTCTGTATCAGTTCATGTAAGTCTTCCCAGTTTTTTCTGAAATCCTCCTGCTCATCACTTCTTGTAGCATAATAGTATATTCCATTACAGTCATATACTACAACTTGTTCAGTCATTCCCCAATTAATGGGCATCCCCTCAATTTCCAATTCTTAGCCACCACAAAAAGAAATGCTATAAATACCCTTGTACAAATAGGTCCTTTTCCCTTTTCTTTTTTCCTTATCTCTCTGATTTGCTGGATCAAAGTGCATGCACAGTTTTATAGCCCTGTGGGCACAGTGAGGGAAGGCAATTATTGCTGCTTAAAACATTTTTGTGAAGACTATATGTACAATGAGACATTTAATAAATGGTTTTTTGACAACAGAAAACTTACTTTTCCCATTTCTACTGGTCCATTCTGTGTCTTTCTGAATGATGTCTGTACAAGCTAGACCAAAATCTCCTATTCTTACATGATGGTCAGGGCCTTGAAGAAAGATATTTCTGGGCTACAAATAGACAAAACAATTCATTATCTTGGATTTCCATTTCATTATATCTACATACACATATATGTAATACAATATATACATGTATATATGTAGAGATGTGACATTTGTAAATACATTTTTTAAAAGATCAATAATAGCTAGCATTTATATATTGCTTTAAAGTTTGCAAAGCTCAAGTAGCTCATTTTATTTTCACGACAACCCTGTGAAGATGCTATATGCATATTTGAGATGTGGTTTGATCAGGAAACAGTGAAACTGACAGCTGCTAGAGTTGGCAATTATTAGCTTTTTGATTACTATGTCACATACTTGACTCATACTGAGCTTACAGTCCATTAAAATCACCAGATGTTTTTCACAGGAACTGCTACTGAGCCATGCCTTCCTCTGCTTGTGCTATTGTAAAAGTCAATTAAAAAAAAACAACTTTGTAGAACTTTACATTTATCCCTATTAAATTTCATCTTATTATATTTGATCCATAATTATTAAGTATATCCAAATCTTTCTCACCTCCACCCCCATCCAATGTGTTAGTTGTCAAATGTGACAAGGATGCCTTAAGCAACTTCATTCTTGTCACTTATCAAAGTGTTCAAAAGCACAAGTCAAGGACAGATTCCTGGATATTCTCCCACAGGCATCTCCAAAGTAACCCTGACCCATTACGACCACTCTTGGGATATGGCCATTAAGTCAGTTCTGAGAGGGCAGTTAGGTGGCACAATGGATAGAGCTCCAGCCTTGGAGTCAAGAGGACCTAACTTCAACTCTGGCCTCAGACACTTGACACTTAGTATCTGTGTGACCCTGGGCAAGTCTACTTAAGCCCGACTGTCTCATCAAAAAGCAAAAACAAAAAAACCAAGATAAAACAAAAAAAAAATTAAAAAATCAATTCTGATGCCTGTGCTATAAACAAACCTCGTTGGCAAGGAGAGATCAGGAGACAAATCAAATGAAAAAAAGACTGAGTATAAAATATCTTTCATATATTACATAATGAAAATTAAAATTTATAATTACAGGAAACCATCAGGCCTAATATATTGTCGAAATTATTCATGTACCCATGATGAAGTGGAAAAATAATGGAAGAGAAATATTCCACTAACATCCAAAATCATGCAGTTGACAGGCAAATTTCCTTGTCTGAAACAGAATTTGCATGTTAATTGACATTCTATAATCATTTTAGGTACAAATTTTTATTTTATGAGATATTTGCCATGTAGTTGAATTAGATAAGAAAACAGTTGTAGCTTATTTTACATCATGCTTATTAGGTCTTTTCACACAAAAGAATATCATCTAAGCAAAAAGCCCATTTAGGATTGACTATTTTTAGAAATTCCAATTAGGACACCACCAAAAAGTTATTTATTCCTCCAAGATACAAAATAGATCCTAAATATAAAATTTTGTTTTGTTCATAGGTACAGCTTTAAAAGCAGTAATTCCAAAACTGTTCTAGAACCAAACTGAATTATCAGAAAGAGTTTTAAATTGACCACATTCCACAACATACAGTTTCCCCTGAACTCTTAATTTCTCACTGTCTAAAAAGCTGTTTTTATCATGGGAAATATAACCAAAAGAGGAACTAGAGGCCCAGTAACTGACAGAGCCTCTTCTACTGAACCAGTAAGATCAAAAGCACTTCATACCAAGCTCTATGAAGCCATAATGAGAGAAGATTGTACTACCATTGAAACCCTACTAAGAAATCATCCTGTGAACCAACCAATGACTGTTTTGGCCAATTCCACATGCTACAGATTACTTCTGAACCAGGTGACTCCTTTTATACAGATAGGAAAAAAAATTACTCAGGAGTTTGAAAGATATTCATTCTTTAAGAGGCAGACATAAGCATCCTCTTCTTTTCTACTCTCCATATCAAACCCCCTTTACATCATCTTCCATTCTCTTCTCTTTGAACTCCACTCTCTGACAATCACCCTTCTTACCAGTGTGAGGGGTGATGAGGTACAGGAAAAGATGAAATATAAAACATTATGATAAAATAAAGTTCATGATCATGGTAGTGGAACACCAGTTGGTAATGGCAAGATCAAGGACATGACCCTCTATTTCTGTGTAGCTGAAGTAGTATGACGGAGTAGATTATAGAAAGTGAGTAAATTTAGGTATTGTAAAGATAGAAGGTTTCTTGATGAAACATAAATAAACCGAAAAACATAAATAAACTCCTCGTATGAGGAGTTGAGTGAGCCTAGCATTGAACTCCCTCAGGAAGCAAAAAATATTCCCCTTCCCCCTGTCCAGAGCCATGACCAGGAAGGAAATATAAGTAAATGTGCAACCAGTACTGGAAAGTGTGAGCAGGAACGCAGTGACATTAGGAGGGATCCAGGCCTCAGTGAATACTGTGAATACTAAGGAAAAGATGGAAGAAATGAGAAAGAAAAGATTTAAGAGGAAAGAAAGTTCATTAATTATTAAAAGGCATTTCAGAAGGTGTTAACCAACATGGAGTAGGATATGGGTGGGGGAGAGGAGGTTTTCAGTCAGGAAATAAGAAGGAAATAAGCAGCTGGGTATGAGAAACGAATACTGTACATCAGAAGCTAGGCATTCAGAATAACTGTGATGGACAGAGTATTGGGATGAGAGTATGCTAATCATTGAGGAAAGAGAATTCAAGAATGAGGCCTGAGAAAGCCACTGCCATTAAGAGATCACAGGTAACTTTGGAAAAAGTGGTTTCAGTTGAATGGTGGGATCAAAAGTCAGATTGCAAGATGCCAAAAAGTGAATGAAAGGGGAGGAAGTGTAGGCAACAAGTGTAGATGGTTTTTTCTAGGATGCTGGTTGTAATTTGGAGCAAAGATTTTGGAGGACAGCTTGAGGAAATAGTAAGATAAAGTAAGGGTTTTAGTTTTGTTGTTGTTTTTTCCAAATGGGGGGAAGATATGAGTGTGTTTTTTAGACAGAAAGGAAGGAGCCAGTAGACAGAAATGATCCAATCTGTTTACAAATCAGTTAACAAGCACTTATTAATGTGAATCATTTTACTGGGTTTGGGGATACAAAGATAAAAATGAAAGTTTCTACCCTCAAGGAACTTATATTCTTCAGTGAAATAACATGTACATAAAAGGCTGTGTGCTAGTCTCAGATCCAGGGTACCTTTCCAACCTTAGTCTTTCCTCCAGGGCCCTCCCAATGTTCTTCACCAGCCCTGTATCTTATCCACCTGACTCTTCAGCACTGTGAGCCTAAAGGACTTCTCCTGGAAGGCCTCCCCTGGAAGCCACTACAGGGACCAGACTTCCCCTTTCTCCCTCCCACTTCTTTCAGCATACCCACCTCACACTGCCATCTGATCTGATTCCCCAGGCCATACCCTTCCCCTGTCCCTGTCTTCTCTGAGACAGGCCTCCCAGGACACATCACCACCTGCCATGAGGTTGGACCTTAACATAAGACCCTGGACAATCTAATCACCTGGACCTTGCCTCCCTCATTGGACCTCTCTCCAACCACCAACTGAAACCACTCTTTCCAAAGTTACCTATGATCTCTTAATGGCCAAACCAATAGCTTTTTCTCAGGCCTCATTCTCGAACACTATGCAGTATGTGACACCATACTGCTCACTCTCTTCTCCTGGACACCTTCTTCTCTTGAGAAGATAATACTGCTTCTACCTACACACCTACCTGTGTGATTGCTTCTTCTCAGTGTCTTCTGTCAAATCATAATCCATGTCCTCTTTCCCTAATTGTGAGTATCTTCTATGGCTCCATCTTGATACCTTTTTGTTTCCACATTTTCTCTTTTGGTGACCTCATCCACTCCCATGGTTTCAGTTATCATCTTTATGCAGATGGCTCCCAGATCTACAGACCCAGTGTCTGTCCCTTTCTCCTTCTCTTCTCAGCTCCAGTCCTATATCACCAATTGCCTATTTGATATCTTGACCTGGATGTCCTATGGGAATCTCAAACTCAACTTCACCAAACATCCACCCACGTTATCAATCTCAGAGTCATCCTATATTCTTCATTCTATCAATCCCTATATCTAATCAATTGCCAATTACCTCTTAGAATCCTGTCTCCTTCAAAGCTCAACTCAACCAGCACTTCTTCCATGAGGTGCTTTCCTGACACGTCTTTCCTGACACTGCCTCCATGGCTACTAGTGCTTCTTCCCCCCCCCCCCCCCCGCCTCCCAAAAGTACCTTCTATAAGTATCTACTTATATGTATATATGTTGCTACCCCAATATAACTTATGCTCCTTGAGGTCATGGATTCTTTTCATCTTTGTCCACCTAGCGCAGTGCCTGAAATATAGTAAGTGTTGAACAATGCTTGTTGATTCCTCCAGCAGCTAGAAATAACCTTCTATTTCCTTTATATCTACTTACAAACATACTTTTCATTTCCCCTAACAGAATGTAAGCCCCTCAAGAACTTCTGCCGTTTCATATTTATCTTTATTTTTGGTGTCTAGCACAATGCCTGGCACTTAGTACACATTTAATCAATTATCTCTTGCATGAATGATTTGACTTTATTTAGCACTATGCTCAAACAGCACATGGTTTAAGATGCTAACTGTCAGGATAACTCAATGGGACTTAGCTCAACTTCTCTTCTATCACTACTCCCTATCGGTCTACCATAATAAATCTCTGATGACTTGTGAAGAAGCTCAGAAGCAACTGGTAAGAATAACATTAAACGTCACTCTTCTGGTCCTAAATAATTCTCGAGAAGACATCTCCCACATCTGCAGCACAGAGATAGGAAACCATGGTTGTGGAACACTGCATATAGTATCAGACTTTGTTGTTCAGTTTTGCTAAACAGTTTTCCCTCATCTTTTTAATTCTTTGTTAAAAGGGATGTTTCAGGGAGAGATACACTGGGAAATATAGATGATATAAAAATAAAATATATCAGTAATATTTACTTAAATATAAATACAAGTCATTCTTTACTTTGACCCCACCCACTTTCCTTATCTTGAAGACAAGCTGTATGTTTCCCCATACAGGAGGTCTAAAAAAAAGGGTCATAACTTTCAAAAATAATTGGTACACAGTTATATTAATCATATAAAGTACACACTGTATCTCTGACACCTAATCAAGCATGCAGTTTTTACAGCTGATTGTTGACTTTGTCAATACCCTTTTAAAAGCAAAATTTCTAGTTCTCAACCATTTCACCCACTGAGTTAATTTAGAGGTTAAATTACTTTAAAGTAATTATCATTTTAAAAGTATAACTGTTAGGAAAATAAGCACAGTTCTTTTCAGTCACCTCTACAAACGAATATTTTGGGCAAAATGTAGCCTCGTCTGTGCAATTTGAAATTGGAAAAGTATTGTGGTCATTTATAATAATAAAAAGAAAGGAATAATTTATTCAATTTAGAGCATAGTTGAATACTAAAAAAATCATACTAGTAAATATATCAACTAATATTTAAAGTGACAAACCATATGATCAAAGTGAACTTATTTCCTTCAAATATCTTTGCTTATATGCAGACACAATCTACCATTCCCATTCATCTGGCTGCTAAATATCGAAAAGCACAAAGTTTGCTTTGCTTGCTAGAACATGGTGCTGATCCAGAAATAAGGTGAATTATCCATTAGGTAATCATTTGTTACGTATTCAGTCAAAACTGCTCATAAGAACATATTTTAAGGAAGCTCATAGTTTAGGATATGACTATTCTTCAGGTATGTCTTGACTCATTCTTTATGTATAGACTGTATGACTAGTAAGGGTTATACTATAATGATTTGATTATTTCATTAACCTAATGATCAAAAGAATCTGGGTGCCTACAAATAAAACACTGTTTACTATAGCACAAGGTCTGACAAAAATAAGTTATTTGTTGACTGTCTACAGTGTGTTCAACAGTAAAAATCATGTTTCCTGACCTCAAGAAGCTTACAGTCTGGCTGGGTATGCTGAATGAACACATGTAAAAAGTAAATATTAAAAACTAAACTACATGATACTAAGTGCAACTGGGATTCCTTTTTATTCTGAAAGATATAACCACACTAATGAAGCAAAAGGCATTTTTTAAAATATGGTGGAAAAAACTGGGTTTTACAAGAGAAACATTTGCATTTCTTCTCCAAAATAAAGAAATGTGGGAGATCATCTTAGTTATAACTTTGGCAATAGAGCCAGATGTGGAACCCGTCCTACCTCCCATCTGGGTCAGCAGGATAGTAGGAGATTTAGAACAGATGGCCTCACTAATTCCTGGATTACTGGGTCTTGGTACCTGTTTCATTTAAAACAATTCCAACTGCCAGCACTTAGTACCAGTCCAAATGCCCCCTCTATTTATTAAATGCACATTTTAGAGCTAACTTGTGATTGATACATATTATAGGGACACCAGAGGTCACACCACACTTCATCTCATGCTCCTACATTGGCCAATTACCCCTGCCACTTGGACAGAACCAGTAAACCGTATTCAGAGAATCCTGACAGATATACAGAATCATGCTGTAATGTGTCTTCATATCTTATGTGAGCATGGAGCTCTGGTTAATGCTCGAGTAGACAATGACTGCAAATATTCACCGCTCCATCTGGCCATACGCTATGGTACCTATCCAGTTCTCTCCATTCTAACCCAGAATGGTGCTCATGTCAATGCCGTTGATGAATCATGCATGACACCCCTTCACATGGCTGCTGGCATACTGAACAAGGAGATGACTGAAACTCTAATTGCTTGTCGAGCAAATGTAAATTGTGCTGTCCCTGCTACCGGGAATACTGCCCTTAAACTGGCAGTATGTGCTGCATCAACTAAAGCAGGCAGGTTATTGGCAGCAGATATAAGCTGTATCCGTTTACTTTTAACTAATGAAGCAAAAGTAAATGCCCAGGATCATGAAGGACAAACTGCTATACATGAAGCATGTTTTGGAGGCAGAGAAGCAATAATTAATCTACTACTTGAATTTGAGGCAGATGTTAATATCTTAACAAGAAATGGAGAAGCTCCAATTTTTATGTTTCTTCAGCGCAGATCCAATATAAGAGATACAACACTGCTTGACAAGCTCCTCTATCTCTCTTATCCTCTGAAACTGACCAACAATCAAGGAATTCTACCTACAGGACTTCTACTACCAGAATTTCATCTACTAAAGGAAACCCTAATAAAGTTATCACAAAAACCTTTATCCCTACAGGTGATCTGTAAAAATAACATCAGAAAATTTTATGGAGAAAAATATAAACAACACTTAAAACAACTTCTCCCACTGAAGATATGGGATTCTATATACAGTTACTGTGACTTATCCCAACTCTTGAAATAAAACCTCATAATTTCATAGTTCCATAGCATTTCAGCAACTCAAATAGCATCTTCTGGTTAAAGAAGACTATTTGCAGTACTTTGTACATCTTGATTGTACAAACCATTGATTCCTAAACCTTTTTACAATAAATAAAAAATGATTTGCAGTATTAATTTAATTTTGTTTTCAAAGGTGTTTTTCTTTTGAAAATATATTTTTCATGATTTAGTTAATCTCTATATAAAAAGAAGAGTTTAAGCTATTAACAGAAAAGTTCAAACCTTTAGAGCAATAGAGAGTCCAAGACTTCCTTAAGATGTCTACTTGAAATATGGATGTACATCATTCTGGGTAATCAAAATGTGAAGAAGAAAAGTGCAGTGACTTTAAAAGATTTACTTTTTAAGTTAGATGTCAATTACCCAAGGAAAATGCCTTTGAGATAGATAAATGCATCATCAAATTCTATCTGTAAGGCTGCAATGATGTCTATAGCTCACAAAGCATTTTCACTGGTCATAACCACATTTGCAGTGATCATTTATAGTAATGATCATAGGATAATTGCTCTAGACGTGTAAAAGACTACAGGGGTCACTTAAACCAACCCTTCAATTGTACAGTTGATGAAATTGTGAGGTCCCAAGAGGTTAAGTGACTTGTACAAGGTCACACGGGGCAGAGCTGAGATTCTAAGTCAGGTCTTTTGATGCCAAACCTAGTGCTCTTTTCGTTGCACCACTGCATATAAGATAACTGAACACCTGGATTCTTTAATATAAGAGTAATATGGGATGCAGTATTTTCATTTCCCACTGCCTGTTTTTTTTTAACTCAATCTAAACATTTTCAGGTTCTGAGTCTGTAATGATTTGGAATAAAGGAAAGAGAGAATCAAAATTAAATGTTCACAGATGAAAAAATTTCCAAAAAAAGATTCATTTACTCCAATGAATCCTTAATGTTATAAGCTCTAACAGAAGCTACCATTTTTTCAAATCCTTTAGTTCCTCCAACTTACCTTGAGATCTCTGTGTACCACTCCCATGTTATGTATATAATATACACCTTCCAATAACTCTCGAAAAATTTTTGTTGCAACACTGCCCATAACATAAGGACCTTGGAGGGGAAAGGGATAAATCACGTTTTATTTATTTTTATTCTTATTCAAATGAGCTCTAAATACAATAACACCCCACATACAGAATGTGTAACATTACAGCTTTATGTTTTACATACACTTTTATGCAACATACAATAACAACCTAATGACTTCAGTCTACTCAAAAAAAGCCACAGACCTAAAGTGAAAAAGAATTCTGAGTCACCAAATGTCAAAATGCCAATGCATCAAAGCCAATGAATTTTGCTTAACTAAATTATCTCACAGGAGAAATTCTTAGACTTTAACTCAGGGATTATTTACTCTTATTTAATACATATGCTAACTTGCTTGGTTATATCATTTCTCAGGTCACAGACTGGAAGCAGCAAACTTCTATACGAAAAGATAACAGTTAGCTGTCACTTTTGAAAGCCTGTGAGGAGGGTGAAAATATATAAAAAGCAGAGACGTCTGAAGCTGTTTATATCTCAGCTACTCCTGCAGCCCTGGCTTTTATATAACTTTCCAGTTTTATTAGATCTTACTACTCTTCATTCATTCTATGGTTCGGACAAACTAATTTTCTTGCAGTTTCTCAAACACAACAAGCCATCTCCCAACTCCATGCCTTTGCACTGGCTGAGCCCCAGCCTGGAATGCCCTGCTTCCTCACCTGTCTCTTAGAATCTCTTAGAATCCTGTTTTCTTCAAAGCTCAGCTCAAATGCTATGTCCTATATTAGCTCTTTCCTGATGACTGAAGAACAACCAACAGTCATGATTATGACCTTGAGCCACCAAATAGAGGTTAAATGAACATACTCTTTTCAAGAAGACAGGGAAATATATAAGATGGTTTATTACTACAATTATTAAGGATATGTTAACAATAACATGACAATCATAATAAACCAAGTTATATGCTTATGTATTTATCTTTTCACAATTACTATTTAATAGTATAACAATAACTAACATTTTTCTAGTACTTCTCTCTCAACAATATTGCAAGGGAGAAACTGACCATGTTTTCATCCAAAGGTGAACCAGAGAATGTAGATCTAATATTTAAGTAAGGGAAAAGGACTTAAGAGGTCTCTGAATCCAAGCTCTTTATTTTACATATAAGGAAGCTTAAGTAATTTGGTCAAGGCCACATTAAAAGTTAGAACTTGGATTTAAATCCAGTTTTCTTCTCAGTCCAGATTAAACACTACTTCCATTTTACTGTGGTTAAAATACCAAAAAAGCATGCACTTGAAGGGTGTACATCAGTTATCTGAACAACGGATTTATTTCTATCCCATGGTTTAATGATCCCATATAAACAAGCAACAACAATAATGAAATTCTCAGTGAATTTATAGACAAATAATTTCCTATGAAAATAAATTAGAAAAAGCATCAGTGATTTTTAAAACCTACAGAAGTTTAGCAGATTATTCCACTACCCTATTAAGTAACTATTAAATCACATTCAAATTCCATAATGGCCCACAGTTCCAGGGGTTAAACCTATTTTCTGACAGTCTGGTGAAGCCGATGGATGGACTTCTCAAAATAATGTTTTTTAGATGCATAACATAAAACACATAAGATTACACAGAAAATTAATTTCACAGACCCCTTGAAATTTATCCATGGACTCCAGTATACGAAGCTCTGCTTTAAACTACAAACTATCCTACACAGATGATACTTCCCTAAAAATGTTTCAGGCTGACGTCATCACTTCAGTGCTGTAAGGCACAGAACTCTTAGGTCCCACCCAAGTTAATCTGTGCAAGTGCTTGAGAAGAATCAGACTTTTCTGAAAGAAAATATTAGCTTGCCCACATTGCCATACTGCCTATGCTGTGGTGAAGTGGAAAAGTTCCCCATACAGACAAAATGCCAGACAAAAAATGACTTGGGTTGAGTTAATATGGCAAAACTACTTTCCTTTCTGATTATTTAATAGTACCCAAACACTGCTAAGTACTTGTGGGATAGGAACACAAGTCATACTTTTAAACTTTCATGACAGAATGACAACTCTGCATTCTCACAGCTAGTATCTCAAGAATATGGCTGCCTGTGTTATCAATAAGATGGACTACCTGCATTACACACTACTGTTAGAGGCTATAAATCATGAACTGACAAAGTCTAACATTTGGCCATATCTTCTCTGAATCAGATATTCAGGTACTTTTGCTTGATTTTTTTTTAAGTTTTAGGCCAGTTAGGGTTAAGTGACTTGCCCAGGGTCACACAGCTAGTAAGTGTCAAAGTGTTTGGTCTGAAGTCGGATTTGAACTCAGGTCCTCCTGACTTCAGGGCCAGCGCTCTATCTACTGCGCCACCTAGCTTCCCCTGCTCGATTGTTCTTACAAGGGAAGTTCCAGTTTGGAAATGGGAGAAAATTTCCATAAAGAACTATGACAGAAAAACTGAAAGTATCAGTAAAACCTATTTTTGTGTTGTTGGGTTTTTTTTAAATCTAAGATTTTAGAAAATGTGATTAATGTTAATTATACATCCTTACAAAGGATGTATACTTTCTAATTCTATTACTATTAAGTTAGACAATCAGAAAAGAGAGTAGCTTTGTCAAATTAGCTCAACCCTCCCTTCACTATGATTTAATATTATGCCCTCAGACTTTACAGAGTTACATTAAGTAAAAAATCCAATTGAATATGATCTGTCTTTTGCCAAACTATAACAGAAAACATTACCTAGTGTTACACGGTATTCAACAAGCTTCACATGATAAACTCTTTGAATTTAGTTGTAGGAAAAAGTTTACTCTGCAGACAAATTTGTCTGGGTTATTTTGATCTGGCATCAGAAATTATAGAAAGCTGCTAGGGAACTCAATCAAGTTTAGTGTCCAACTACAACAATAAATTTACTTCAGGGACTTGGTAACAAAAATTCACTCTGATCTTTTAGCTAGCCTCTCTTCTTCTATTTTTATCTTTAATTATGTCATGTTTAATTTTGTGACCTCCCTCAAACGCTTTTGAAAATAGCAGAGCATAAATCCCTAATAAATAAGTCCATACAAAAGTAAACTAAAGCACTTGAAAATTTACATTTTTTTTAAGAAAAATATTAATTTCTTCCAATCTTTAGGCATTAACAGAATGATATACTCAAAGCTAGATTAACAAATCCCATTTAGATTACAGGAAGAGTACTGATGTAAAAATACATCTTTCTATTTCTAATGCCTGAAATTTACGTAGAATTTAACACTACATGAACTTTAAAAATGAAAGTAAAACAAAACAATTTACTGATTTTAATTTTTCAACACAGATATTTGAACATAAAATATAATATGAAACTTACAGGAAGGTTCAATTTTAGATGATCCCTTATTTTTATTTCGATCAACAATCCAGTCCCAAAGAGAGATTTCACATAGTTGCATCTGAATATGGAGCATGAGGTGATACTTCACCTAACATCAAATAATGATACAATGTTTCATAATTTACTAGGAATTACCACTTGGATAGTTTTGGATCTGCTGAGTAATCACGGCTGAGGACTAAGATCAGAGATCTTCAAAAGAGATCTGCTTTTTCTGTGATACCCATTCACTGGATATACTGAGTTCATATTTGGATTTTTCACACTACACATAATTAATTTTTTTTAACAAATCAGAAACTAAATTCAAGGTCTAAAATGCCAAGCCTCCATTCCAAAATGGCAAGTTATTTAACTCATAATCATCTTTTGTAACAAGTTAATGTTAGCAATTGCTTCTATCATCATAATTAATATGTATAAGATCAACATGGGAAGGGGCAGCCTACTTACCTCAGTCTGCCCAAGCAAGGCTAAGTTTTCTTCAGAAGATTCTTCAGTGGACGTAAAGTTCTCTTCTAGGTACGAATTATTCTCTTGCAGCACATGATGCTTAACAAATGATCTAGTAGATGTATTAACTAAGCAATTTTCTTGTGATTTATATTCAATGGCATCTCTCGTGATCAAATCAGTATAGTTTACTAACTTGTTATTTTGATTGTCAACCCAAGTTTCTG